TATAAATGATCGGAGCAGGTAACGGGTATAACCCGTTACTCGGTCGATGCGGTTTTCTCTATTTTGATCGGAACGGTTCGGTGCCGGTGTCTAACGGATCGGTCACAAACTCACAATTGTAATCCCTAGTTATATGTCTTCAAATTTTGTAAAACTTTATATATGACATATTGGTGTCATATGAAAAGTAATAAAAAAATATGAAATTTGATATAGATTTTATAAAATTCGGAATGAAAACACAAAAGTTATACGGAGTAGCAATTTAGGGAAAATGGAGATTTTTTTTAACATAATCCACACTTTCTCGCTCCTACGTGTGGCATCCTACGCATGACGGTCATTTCCTTGGCTCCTGTCCTTTCCGTATTATAAAGGTAAGCTAACTCTAGTTTAACCCAACAGCATTTTCGTATATACTTTTAACTTAACCATAATTTGATAAATAATTATTTTTTCAGCATTAATTAGGAAAAAAACTCAAAAGACCAAATCAAAGATCAAACTTTATTGAACGTAAAAGACCAAATCAAAGATCAAACTTTACCAAACTGTAAACGATTAAACATAAACAAGCTAAAGACGGTAAACGATTAAACATAAACAAGCTAAAGACGGATAGGATCCTCTACCCAACTAGGAGGGTGTCTTGCGCATCAGAAGGGGAGCGGCAAACACGACCTCAAGATCGGCGAAAAAGTGGAACCCAAGATCTCCAACCGTTGAATTATCGATCGGACGGCTGGGAGGAAGCAAGACACTCTACCTATTAAAAACACACAAAATTTACTTGCGTGACATTGTTTAGAGTATATTTTAATTTTCAGGACATGGACGATCAAAATAGAAGGAAATTTAATTTTCGGGACTCTGATGGCAGTATAATTTTTCTTTTCTTTACATGTAATTTCTTCAATTGCAAAATTAACAAATTGAATCTAGGCTCTTTAGTTAGCCCAACAATGTGACCAAATTCATTCAACGCTGGTATATTTCTTAAGACTACAATACACTCACAGGTGAAACGTCACAGGTCACTGAAATGTATGGCGTTATATGTACAATTTTCCTTGTCGAGAAGCCAAAAAAAATCAAAACAGTAGAAAGGCATCTATAGGCCTATAGAGACAGAAGCCCTTAGGCCTTTTTGAATTTTGATTTTTCAGTACATTCAAAAGATCCACAACGACGTCGCATGGGGGTGAGTCGCTACGAGATACACCTCATCGTGAGCATCGGCTCCGGTGTGTCCAATACGGGTGTACCGTGAACCCGAACGTGATCCGTCTCTACGCCGTAATCCATCATCGGACGGTACTCCAGATCCGCGTCGTGATCGTGAACGTACTCCGGGATCTCAATCGCATTCCTCCTCACGTGTTCCCACAGATAATCCAACCTGGTTATGTATCTCAGCTTAGCGTACAATCTGCGGCAATAAAAATACAGAATTGTTGATTAATTTTGGATAAATTGAAAGTATACAGTAAAAATCATGTTAGGATTCAGTTAATATGTTTAACGATATAGATAATTCGTGATTATTACCCTCCGGAGAAGATGATCCGGCCAAACGTGGCTAGAAACAGTCTGGATTGAAGGCCGGGATGGACGAAGTACACGGCCTCGAGATTGAGCCGAACAGGGGCCGGAATGGAGTCGTAGATTGACCGCATCGCTGAAATTCCGAGGAAGTTCTCGTTCTTCTCGACGCCGGTGTGGAAATACAGGACGGCGAACGGCCGGTTGTCGAGCTCCGGGAAAACCTTCTCCTGCAGGAACTTATTCACAACTTCAGCGCTCACAATCCTCGCTGATAAACCAAACAAAACGCAAATTAACAACAAATCAACTTCAAATTGCGAACGAGAGAAAAAATTAGATCAGCGGCGCGTCGATGATCTTACCAGGGAAAAACTTTCCGAAGATTTGGAGGATTTTACGGCCGCGCTTGTCTTTGCCTTTGATCTTGAAGACCTGGAGATCCTGAAGGAGCTGCTCTTGATCTGCAGCGGAAATCATGATTACGCGTACTTTGAGAATTCAAAAAGAGGAAATGTTTGAGATTGAGCGTGTGAAGCGAGACGAAGAAGAACGGTTTTTATATTGGGGGAAAGGAAAGCAGGGTTGTGGATAAGAAGACGACGAAAGGCGGTGTGGAGGCGCGGATAGGAGTGAGGGCAGTGGGGACCCACGGAAGAATATTCGGGAGGATCTTCCTTCCTTTATGGGCTGCCGTGATGTGGTCCACATGATCCGCCCGTTTCTGACTCGGACCCAAAGTCTACGTGGAAGTCGGGTTGGCGGGCGGGTGAAGCATGAGGAACCAACTTGAAGGAAGAAGTCAAGAAGACTCATGTTATTGGGAATTTTGTGAAATTAGTTCCATATTTTCCGGGTAATTTACTGTTTTTGACTTTTTGTTTCATTTTCCATATTTCAAAGATTATTCTTTGTTGTACTTAAATTTTTCTCTAACATTATTTTCATTTTGTTTTAAGTTCTATTTACCTCTTTTTTGTTTACTATTCATTATAAACGAGAGTTCATTTAAATTTTGAAACCTCAACTATTACAATGTATATTTCGCAAAATATAAGTGCAAAAAAGTAATTTATTTCAATATGAGTATTATAATCCCTCTGTAAACAGAATTATAGCATTTTTATTTTGGACTTTAATGAGTTATATTACCTTGTAATAACACTATTGGACATTAATATGATTAATTACTATAGAATGATAGTACTTACTCATATTTAAAATATAATATAATGCGCTTAGTTAGAAAAATCATTTTGGAATTATAATTTGGGTCTATTTCTTATAATAAAAGCAAGTATATCATGAACTCTTAACAATTTAAATAAGAAAACAGAGTTATTAGAGCTTATGCGAAACAATTAGTATATATTTTTATACTATTTGTATATTTTTTTTTCTTTTATTTCTACTTTTCCAATGTGTCTATTTGTATATATTTTTTCTACATTAATTTGATAGCATGAGAAACTATTAGTGTGTGAATGTGTCTATTAAAATGAATGAATGAGCACAATTAGATAACCAGTACTCCCTCCGTCCCGGAAAATTGTTCCCGCATTGACTTGGAACGGAGTTTAAGAAAATGGGAATAAAGTGGAAATGTATGGTTGTGGTTGAGTAAGAAAAAGGTAAATGAATTGTAACCACAAAAAACTTTCTAAAAGGGGAAAGAGAGACAATTTTTTGGGACGGCCCAAAAAGGAAACAAGGAACAATTTTCAGGGACGGAGGGAGTATTGTTTTCCGTAAAGTTGTAGATAAATATCAAAAGTTAAGTATAAATGATTTTTTGTCTACTTCCATGGAATGGTGAAAGACATCTCATCTTAGCAAAAAAAAAAAAACACAATAGATAGGTGTAGAGCGTTATAGTTGTATTCTTTTCAGTGTGCCCAAGTTATTGTAGTCGTTTGACGTTTCCTTCCAAATTCCAATGTATCAAAAGAAATGGCGTTATAGACTTCTAGTTTATTTTAAAGTTTCATATTTTAAACATCAATTTAATCCAAATGCGTTACGACTATTTCCAAGACGGACTACCGCCCCCTGACTATGATTTCAACAGACATCAGTTCGATCTAATCAAATTTAAACAAACAAGATACATTCCAATTAAAAACATCCAATCTTATAAGAGTGTTTTTTCATTAGACTAATTTAAATCACATGCTAGATCAAATAGGAGACTAAACCAAACTTAAATAGATCATATCAGACCCAACTAGATCTCGACGTTTGTAAAATACATGAGACCACATATCTATATGGGGGTGTTTGAATCTTATTATTAAAACCGCTTCTACTCCTTCAAGGAGAAGAAACAGAAGTTTGAGTGAAAGTGTAGAAGTGATTCTGGTCCTCGAATTTACTCCTAATATCAGTGTTTTTAGAAGCTGAGGGTCGGCTTCTAAAAACTGATTCTGATTCTGTTTTTGTTTTAAAAAAGAAGTAGAAGCAAAATCAGTTCCAAACACCCTATATGATGTGAAAAGAATTCAATTAAAAATATGATAAGGTGCATGAAAAGTTGTGATCTCCAATATTGCACCACCTAATTCAATAGTGGTATCATAGTTCGTTAGGGATCAATTCCATTTTGGGATTTAATTCAGTTATTAAAAAATCTCATTTTTATCTTCGGTCTTGTATAGCTTACTAAACGGGAGCGACAACCTTCAGCACACCTCCAACACTTTAGTCTATCTCACCAAGAGACATACATCAATTTGTTTTTAACGTTCCACAAGGTTGAATTCCTAATCTCAAAGATCCCTAACACCTTGACCCAAAGACATTAGGAAAGTTATAACTCACCATAATTCAGTCGGCTCAATGGTTATATACTTTGTACACATGTGCACCAGAGGTCCGGCCTGCCCAGCATACATGAGCTGTACGTAACCTCTACACGGTCGCTGTGAGTTTTGATCCTTGATCAATGTCCCAACTTTCTCACCACTCAACCAACTGAATTACTCGTGCAGTTTACATTAATTATATGTATTTTGACTACATTTTAAATTCGTATCACTGTGAAGCTTCAAACTCCGATGTTTAAATGTGTTTACTTATAGAGGAATAAATATTCTAAAAGTCAAAGTAGTTACGGAGTATGTGTTTGCAAATATCAAAATGAGATTATTGCTATTACAAATAAATGGAACAATTGTACTACGTATTACACAAAGTAATGCGTGGGAATTGCACAAAGTATAAACTATTAAATCAATATATAGATTAGTGGTTACTCCTTGCATGAGATTAAACTTTTATGATTCAACACCAAGACTTAATATAAGCCGAGACTTGTCGTTTGATTGTTCATTTGGCACATGGATCAAGTGTAGTCTATTTAACTATTTGCCCGCTCTACTTTGGGTTGGGGGTGTTGAAGACTTGAAGTATGTTGGAAATTTTAAATGTATTTCAAATAAACCAAAACTTTGGGAAAATAATTTTGATCATTTTATTTGTTAATTAAATAATTTAAATTAAATGGGCTTATTTCCGGATAAATCATCTTTGAATTATTCCTTAACTGCTCCGTAATTTCACATGCGTTGAAGTAACTACGTGCTTGGCTAATACTTGGCCATGCTTGTTTATCTCCTTGTTATTAGGATCAATAACTTCCCACCTTTTAAAATATTTATTTTCTCCTTTATAAATGAAGGTCCTTACGCTACGATCTACTATAAGAAAAATACAGAGGATGCAATCCTGCCGTAGGATTAATTCACAACTTCATTTTTGTTACTAAAGTGCAGGCTTTAGTTTTTGTATAGTGACTCACGTATAAACATTTTTACGTAGCATTAATATACGCGCTAATATCTCAACACTGCTGGATTACATTTTACTCTTCTTATCCTCGTAGTTTTGTGTCCGGCGACTCGCCGAAGGGCTCGTTAAATCCTGGGGAAAGATTTCCGGCCACCGGAAATACTTTCTTAAGGACAGCGTCTAACGCGTCTCGAGCCATTGTCGTTCTTGTTGTTTTCGTGTGCAGGAACTTGTTTTCGGAAGAGAGCAGAAGAGGCGATAACCACGCTTAGACTTGCTGTTGGAAGTTTTCGGAGAGGAAGAAAGAAGAAGCGGTTTGTCGGAAGACGTCGACCGGTGTAGGTGGCGAGAATAATTCCCCAACAATCTTAAGAAAGTATTTGTCAGAAAAACCTGTCCTGGTCATCACCCTCCGGAAAACTCCCGTTGGTGTCTCTCTGAAAGTATCGGACAAGGATCACTGCTGCGATCTATGTCAACTGCCCTGCTGTGATTCCGATTAAATGAGCCGCTGAAATCTTTGTTCACAAAGAGGCTACCAAACTTGGTATTTCTATTACTCCGTAATTAATTTAGTCTTGCCAATTTTATACCTTCGTGAATCTTCCAGCTGCATTATTTTATCTCAATTTGTGATTATTTTATGTGTCACCCTTTTTACAATAAGACTTATTTTAATCCCACTTATTTTAATAAATGTCATTTTATGTGATAAAAAGACAACTGTGGAAAACAACAACCCACTTAAATCAAAATTAAAATTGATTAAAAGTGATGATATTTTTATTGCGGTTGTTTATCAAAGTTGTAAAATAAATGATGTCAATGAATGGATGGTAGACTCTGGGGCTACAAAGAACATTTGTCAACACAAAAGTGCTTTTACCTCCTATAGTACTACTACTAGAGATGATGTAGAGCTAGTGTACCTAGCGGACTCAAAAACAACTAAGGTGTATGATAAAGGGAAAGTTCTTCCTAAACTCATACCGGGAAAAACTTTATCACTAAATGACATGCTTTATGTGCTTGAGATTCGGACTAAATTAGTTTCCATTTTTCTCTTGCTAAAAGCTGGGATTAAAGTATCTTTTGATTGTGACAAATTTGTTATGACCAAAAATGATGTTTTTGTGAGTAAAAGTTATTGTAAGAATAATAATGTGCTTACTAATTTTAAATTATTGCATGATAATTAATGCTTCCACTTGTTTATATGATTTATTCGTACGAGTATGATATATGATGAGTATATGACATTCGTTGGAATGTTTTATTTACTTTGGATTAGTAGTTCAATAATATTGTTCGGTATATCTGTGAATGGGTTTAGCTTCCTGTGATTATTAAAATTTAAAATTGCATTAAAGCTAGTTTTGTATACATGCTGACTGTGAGTTTCACTACGTTAGTATTTGCTTGATTAGTTTTCGTAGAGGAGACTTTTGGTCATACTTTTAACTCCTAAAGTATGAATTTTGCTCGCATGCATTTTAGTATGTAATGTAAATCAAGTCATGAGCATATATTGTTGAGAATTCTTGTGCATGCACTTAGTCTGGATTATATTGTACTCCGCATATATGAAGACTTCTTCACATGCTTGGTTTTCTGGATGTGACGCGAAGGTTTTAGTTTTGATGGCTTAGCTTTATCTTGTAATCTTTTAACTCCATTTACGTATTTTTGTATAGAATAGCCGTACTGAAGCTTTGGTAAAGTGTTAATTTATGTTTGAATATATGTGGATAATGTAAATACCTAAAGCTGGTCTATATTTACATATGCATGCTATCCAAACATGCATAAGACATGCATATTTACTATGACTTCGATCATTTACATGATGCATGAAATGAATGCTTTGTTAGCAGTGTGTTTCATGAAAAATCATGACTTAAATGTGGATTATTATTTTCTTTAGTACCCTACGGTTTTTAGTAAGTCTGTGTGCTGCTTTTAATTGTTCAAAATGTGGGGGCTGATATGCAGTGATGCAATTTCGGAAAATTTGAATCTAAACTAATTATATTATGCATGCTATTACTCGTTGGTAGCTAGCTGTGTGTTACCTAACTATATGGGGCTAAATAAAAGGCAAGAATTTTTGTCTTATATTGTTGATTTTATAGAAATTTATTTTGATTCTAAAGTGTGAATTTGTGATTAAAAATCCACAAACTATGTTAAACCTGACATAAAATGTCAGATAGATGATTGAGCCAATATATTAAATCCAAATGGGATAGTTCAGATACCATTAATTATGGCATACATTTGATTGAGATTATCCGTTGTAATAAATTGATTCAACGATGACATGTTTTATTAAGAAATAGTCATTGTACTAAAGCGGTACTATACAATGATGTTATACGAGAGTTATCCATTGTATTATAATGATACAATGACGTTATATAGTTTATTGTGAGTTATCCGTTGTATTAATTATCGGGATACAACGATGCCATCTGGGTTGAATATCACACAAGTGATGTTGAGTTTGTTAAAAATAACAAACTGTGTGAAACCCGACTTAATGTTGGAAGATTGAGCAAAATTGTGGAAACACAAAAAATGTATTTGGTGAGCTAAACCATTGTATTAAAGACATACAATGATGATATGATTTTAAGTGATATTGTTGTATAGACGTATACAATAATACCATATAACTTAAATATAAAGTTATTATTAACTATGACAAGAGGAGTTAATTATCTCCTTTGGCACGCGAAAATCCGGATATTATCATTTTTATACATCGAGGGAAATGGACTGTCACTTGTTAACAAATAGGGATGGTAACCCAACCTGTGTGATTGGAGATCCCATGAAGCAGGTTCATATGGGTAATAACAAGTCTTCTATTTGTTCCTGCTAGCCTATTATGTCCATTTCTAGGGTGAGGCTAGACTGCATTCGCTGTGAGGCTGAGCTAAAACTCTTAATGATTTTCATAGTCTTATGGCTGGTGTGTTAAGTGCAGAACACACTTGATGAGGTCACCTATATGAGTGTGAGGTGGGGCCGCCTCCATGAAGCATGACAAAGCTTCTAGAGCACTCACGAACACCAGGCACGCGCACGGCCGAAATGCGCACAACGGCGTTAACGCGAGGAATTGTGGGGGGTGAGACATGACCATTAAGACCCTGATTTACCATAGTAGCTTCTTGGTTCATAGAAACTATACGTTTCACCAAAAGCTCGGTTTATAAAGACTTAATCGTCTCGGTTTGGTTCATAGTCTTCGGGCACCAGACTTAAAGTCTCATTCCCGTTAATCCAGCAGATTTTTCAAATTGTGTTTTTACCTCAAATGTTTATTTGAAATATGTGGGGGATTGTTGGAAATTTTAAATGTATTTCAAATAAACCAAAACTTTGGGAAAATAATTTTGATCATTTTATTTGTTAATTAAATAATTTAAATTAAATGGGCTTATTTCCGGATAAATCATCTTTGAATTATTCCTTAACTGCTCCGTAATTTCACATGCGTTGAAGTAACTACGTGCTTGGCTAATACTTGGCCATGCTTGTTTATCTCCTTGTTATTAGGATCAATAACTTCCCACCTTTTAAAATATTTATTTTCTCCTTTATAAATGAAGGTCCTTACGCTACGATCTACTATAAGAAAAATACAGAGGATGCAATCCTGCCGTAGGATTAATTCACAACTTCATTTTTGTTACTAAAGTGCAGGCTTTAGTTTTTGTATAGTGACTCACGTATAAACATTTTTACGTAGCATTAATATACGCGCTAATATCTCAACACTGCTGGATTACATTTTACTCTTCTTATCCTCGTAGTTTTGTGTCCGGCGACTCGCCGAAGGGCTCGTTAAATCCTGGGGAAAGATTTCCGGCCACCGGAAATACTTTCTTAAGGACAGCGTCTAACGCGTCTCGAGCCATTGTCGTTCTTGTTGTTTTCGTGTGCAGGAACTTGTTTTCGGAAGAGAGCAGAAGAGGCGATAACCACGCTTAGACTTGCTGTTGGAAGTTTTCGGAGAGGAAGAAAGAAGAAGCGGTTTGTCGGAAGACGTCGACCGGTGTAGGTGGCGAGAATAATTCCCCAACAAAGTACTCATCAGCTCATCTCATACCAATATACTACGTGTAAAATACTACTCCGTATATCAATATATAAGATCATTGATATTCTTATTAAGCTAAACTTTAGGAAGGGAATCTCAAGTATTTTACTACGCAGATTTATTGAGATATGACTAGAACATATATAGTCAGGTTCCCTAAATATGACTAAATATAAACAATGAGACATTGAGACCACACACAATACTCATTTATATTTTAAATACTCTAAAACAAAAAGTACTCACTACTTTCATGAGTTCATCAAGTAATTTATCAACATATCTACTAAACGCTAGTGTCATTGTTCTTCATATGACCTTAGTAAGCGCATATAATGAGAAAGGGGAATAGCTTTATATGTACTCCATAGCGTAGATGATATGATATGATAATTTTCTCATTTTAGTATTATACTTCCATTGGTTTCAAGTGTTTGCCATCGTGTATTTTTCCATAGCAACTATTACAATATCACTGTTTGCCATCGTGTATAATTTTTCTTTTTTAAAAAAAGGACACAAAAAAAATTGGCCCGGACCGGTCGGGCCGGTTCACCTTTTGAGGGGCCTGAGCCCGGCCCGGAACCCCAGCGGGTCGGGCCTACTCGGACCGGTCCATGGCCGGGCCGGCAGGTCGGGCTGGTTCAAACAGTGACCGTTCAGGCCGGTTCCGGGGTGGGCCGCCCGGCCCGAGTCCACCCCTATACAAGACTTGGTTACAATATTTCTTGTTAACATATTCAATATTGTAGTCAATTTAGTTCATATTAGTGATTTAGAGTAGATGATCCATTGATCCATTTTTTCGACATAAATGAGATGCCTATAAAAATTGAGAATGTTTTGTATATTATGAAGATAACTGCACAATTATCTTCAAAAATTCATTTAAATGGCTTCTCGATTGAAGTTTTAATTCAAATTTGATATGAGTAAACTAGACTTAATGAATAAGATTCTCAAAACATTTCATCAAAACATTTCACCGGAAACCGCTCCAAATGACGTCAGCCGGACAGAACATCCTAAATATGGCCTTGAATTTTTTTTTCAAATTCCCTTGAATGTATTTGTGTGTGAGGTGTGTCGAGATTGTGATTTGTTTAAATGTACAATAATATTTTACACACTGCATTTCATATTTGATCCTAGGGATGGACTCAGGCCGGGCGGCCCGGCCCGGAACCGGCCCGGCCCGGTTACTGTTTGGCATGGCCCGGCCCGGGGCCCGGTGGGTCCACCGATTCAGTTCGGTCCGGCCCGGCTGCTGGGCGGTCCGGGCTCGGGCCCAGTTTTTGGTGAACCGGCCCGGCCGATTCGGGCCCGGTTCGGGCCGGTTTTTAATTTTTTTTTTTTGAATTTTTTTTAAGTTTTGTGTTGGATTAGGTATTTTGGGCCATTTGGGGTGGTTTGGGGTTGAGGGGGAGGGGTTGGGGGTTAAATAGAAGAGCCAAAAAAAAAAAAAATTAGAACCAGTTAGGCCCGGCCCGGCCCTGTTTGGCCCGGAACCAGACCCGGAACCGCCCACCGGCGGTTCGGGCTCGGGCCCAACTTTCCTGGCCCGAGGCCCGGCCGGGCCCAGGCCCGAACCGGGCCCGAACCGGCCCAAGTCCAGGTCTATTTGATCCACTGCATTCTCGTGCAACGCATAGAAAGAAGAATTTCATTCCATACGTAATAATTACATTATCAAAATAGTTCTAAAAAAACATCAAGCAATTGCATTATCAAAATGATTCTACCAAAATAAATATATTTCTTTTTTCAACATTTCAGCATAAAAGACATGAGATCATAATGTCATTGTTTATAGGCAAAAATTATTTGAGTTGTACTGGATCACTCACCATACGATCACGTCAAAAGAAAGACATTATATATTAGCAAATGGGATGTTCTTAGAATCATGTACAGAAATGCACAATTTAAAGGAACCAGACTACCTACCTCTTCAACCAAAAACTCACAATTCATGACTGAAAATTGATGGATATATTATCCAATTATATTTATAAAACCAATAAGGGAGCACGGAATTCACAATTATACACCCACTACTGCCACTAGTCAGAAAAGCTCTACATTTAAAACACATCATATATTCATATTTCCAAGAGTGCCCATGTTTTAGACCGCTTAGTGATGGGCTCTTCTAAGGGAATGGAAAAAGCTACCAATTGATTTCTCCTTGTGCTTCTCCTCTCCATCATCTCCAACCTGTTTTTAGGACATTAGAACAATTGAAAAAAACTTCCTAAGTTATTACTCTCAAAATCAGGCAAGCTAGCTTTTTGGTAAATGAAAGTGTTACCCCTTTGGCAATTCGCTGCAAAATCTCCAAAATCTCTGGGAACTCGGGTCTTTTATTGGGATCTTGCTGCCAACACTTTTCAAGCAGTTCTGTAAGCTTAGGATGTGTATCCTTGGGTATTGTTGGTCGTAGTCCCTGACAAGCCATTTCATCAATTCAAATATGTACTGTGGGTTTAATATCGTTGCCCTAATGTTTGAATTTCTAAACACGTAAATTGCTAGGTAAAAACCGTAGTATGTAATAGAGAGGATAAATGGAAGAAAAGGACATTAAGCGTATATTTAAAAGTTTAGATAATATCTGTTTTGTTCAAACTGCTCTTATTGAAATATTTCTAATGGATATAAGGAAACACACACACACACACACACACATATCAGAAAGTAATATGTGTTAAAAATAAAACATAATTTTTCTTCATATATTCCAAGGTAATACAAAAAAACATAAAGATCTATTTTCATTAGAACTTTGATTCTTTTCATTGCCATTTTCCAGGATCAAACAAAACATAGCCTAAAGAAAGAAAGACTTGCCTGTTGAACAACCCCGACGGCTGCTTGTAGAGGTGTTAGGAATGCATATGGAATCTACACATTTGGTTGGGTACATAACAGGAAGACAAATGTCAAATCCTTAGTGACATGGGCAACCGGAAACAAAATTGAGATTCACAAATAATGTAACGAAATGCGCACAGACTTACTTCTCCCGTAAGAAGTTCCCACAGCACTACTCCAAAGCTGAAAACATCTGCTTTGTGATTGTATGGTTTGTGCTCAATCACCTTCAGTTGCAGAAAACCCCAATTTACTCGCTTGAGAGAAAACTGTAGGAGGAAAGATAAGTCCAGAATTCAATATTTGCATATACCTCTGGAGCCATCCAACGATATGTTCCAGTTTCTGCAGTCATGACACCAGTTTGAGTCTGCACTCTAGCAACCCCAAAATCACCCACCTTGACAACCTTATCAATCAAGTGAGAGAAGAGGGATAAGGGAAAGTAACAGTCCATTAGGAAATAGGAACCCAGAAAATATCAGGGAATGAAATAGGGGGGAACATGTAAAGGAAATTTGGGGAAAATTAATACATTGGTTCAAACACAATAAAAAGTTGCTTTAGATATGTTTCCATACTCTTATTTTTCTAACGTAAATTCAAAAAAATATAAATTTGCACACACACACACACACCATAGTAGTTTCTTTCCTTCTCTGCAAATTTCAGCACACAAAACATAATTTAAAGCTGGCGTTGAACTAAATGTATATCTGGCAGAGCCTCGAAGGACTTCTCATTCCCGTAGAGAAAGTACAGTTACAATGAATGTTACCGTGCATTAATAATAAAGTACTTACTCCATGCTCATTCATCAAAAGATTGGCAGACTTCAAATCCCGGTGAATAATTTTATTTTGGTGAAGATAGCTCATTCCTTTGGAAACATCAATTGCAACCTTGAGTAGGGTAGGAAGCTTAAAAGTTCCTTTTTGCTTGTGCATGAAATTATACACACTTCCTCTAGACATGAACTCTGTAATTTCAACATTCGGAGAAATCCACATGTTACAGAACTTAAATGTACTAAATGCCGTGAAAAGAGATGCATAACATGGAATTTTAAAAATATATTTCTGCACAATCATGATGACATTTTTGCAAGTCATTGAAATGAATGCAATTTGAAATTAGGTGAGATATAAACAAAAACAAGCAGCTGATGGGATTATGTTTATGAATCCGGCCTACATAAGAATGAATAACACGAAAACAATCCCAGAACAATGAATATTTAATTAAGTACTTATTATAGCTTTGTAGTTCAGACAAATTACCAGTCACAATGCACAGGTTTGGTTGCCGAGTACATGCCCCTATGAATTGGACAACATTTTTGTGTCGGATTTTTCTAAAAAGAAAAAATGACAGTTATAACTAGGATGGAAGCAACACCAAACAAGAAGCTGGAGAAACTACTTAAACCCTAGAAGTAAAATTAAATTTGAAACACCAGAACAGTGTACTTCATATTTACATACTTTCATACATACTCATCATTTAAGAGGTCAAAATTTTCATTTCTTAAATACTGATACACAGCGCAGTCTTAAGTAAAATGAAAAACCTATAAATCATGGCCGTTCATTCTCTTTCCGGTAACTAAGTAATCCTTAGATATGGAGAAAAAGCCAATTGCAGCAGAGTTTATGGACTTCATAAAGAAGAACTGCAAATGGCTTCAGTTACAAAAGGCAAAAGAAAGAGAACTCCACTCTCTAATAGAAGGAGAAAGTAACAACAACCTTAATAATAATAATAATACCAATAGAACTAATAACCATAGTCATAAGTCATAACAACACAAAAACAATAATAATAATGTAATAAGTTAAATATAGTAACAATATTAATAATAATATAGTAATCTATATTATATATTAAAACGGAATAGTCTAGGGGGAATTGGGCGGGAAGTGTGAACACAATAAATGGCAAATGTCTGCTGAAAATTAATTAAGAAATGTAGAGTAAAAGAAATGAGACGATTGGTCAACATTTCGCACTTGCCAACTCACGTCTTTGACCGTAATTATATCTTAATCTCTATTAGTAAAAAATAATTAAAAAACAGATTTTGAAAATTTGTAATGAGACGAATTGAACAATATTTTTTTTAAAAATAATTTTTGTAAAATAATACCGTAAAATGTAGTCAAAGTAGAACATGTGAATAGTGTAAAATTCAACATGTTGCGATTAAAAAAACGGAGGATAATATGTGCTTAAAATCATATCAATAGTGAATTTACATAATGAGAATTATATTACATGTAGTAAATGTTATTTTACCAATTCAATGAATACATGTCAAGT